GGCATAACCTACAGACAGGACTTAATGAAACTATAAAGCTAATCTGATTGCCAACTGCTGCCAAAACAGGAGATTCCCTCTCCTACTTCCCTTGCACCGGCACCTACTTGACTCTGTGACAAGCCATTCACAGAGCTACACTGGCATCAAAGAAAAGTGAGGTTTCTCCTACTGACCCAGCTCACTGCAACTTCACCTTCCTGACAGCACTGGTAAGCAGGTAGACTGAGAAGGGAAGGAAGCCAACAAATCCTTTGAGTTATGGTAAAGAACTTGTACAGTATAATACAAAATATTGCAGCCTTAGCAATGCGTCATTCCCCTAAAAAGCTTGTTCATAAACTGCCATTTACTACAACATAAACAATCCCACACAGAAATCAAATTAAATACAAGCAGGTGCTACTGTTATTCACATGACATTTTTGTTCCCAGCAGTTACAGCTGTATCATTTATATCTGTACTTATTAGAAAAAGTTATTTATTTGGTACTTCCCCTCATAATTCAGCATGTTTTCCTAAAACCTGCAGGTATTAAAAACAGTAATTTATCTTCTTGATGTTCAGAAAGTTTTATTTAATAATCCTGTTTAATTCTCATACAATTGAAATATGATGAAAATACCAATGGAGATGTAGCAAATGACAGATTTATTCAGACTCAGCTCTTAAATAGGCTCCTGTACAAAATACAGCCATAAATCACTTTCCAAAAAGATCCCAACCTTAAATAGGATTAAGAAGTCTTCAAATAACCATTACTCTTACCAATAGTCTGCCATCAAATTAAGTCAGCCTTTCTCTCATTTATTCCAACCCCACCCCCCCTGAGGGCAGAGAATCTGACCCACTAGAAAAAAAACAAAACAAAACTGTACAGCTGTGACAATGACATTACTCCTGAGTGCAGCCACCTGTGGTGTGAGATACAGGCCCCAAATTTACCTCCCTCAATTTTGTAAGCGTTGTCCCCATTGTAAAGGCTTTCAAAAGAAACCAAACAAGAGAAAGAATAGCAATTCCTGATTTAAAAGCCATAGCAAATAATTCTTTGCTTTGGTTACAACAGTAAGTACACAAATGAACGGATTTGCTGCTTTTGACAGCAGCAGGAACTGGGTTGTCTTGCCTGTTCCCAGGGCTGTTCTATTTCTTTGTACCAGGTGCAGAAATAAAAGACAAGAATTTCTGATGTACGTTTCTTCGGATAATTGAAAATTTTCACTGCTGCTATTGGTTCAAAGCTTCACAATTACAAGAAGTTTAACTACTTCTGTTCAGAGTCACCTCTAAAGAAAGGTAAAGTCAGTACAAATAAGGCTGTGCTGACCAAATGCAGAGGGCAGTCCTCCAATCTGGAGGGATCTTTTATCATATTCCTCACTAATGCCCAGTAGTACATCAAGGACATGACAAACACAGGCCACATCTGGAATACAGTTACCTAAGGGAATTTATGAATTCCTGCTGTTTTAAGGATGCAGAAGATGTTTTAAGAATTGCAGCCTTCTCCCTGCACAAAAGCAGCCATGCTGTGATACAGAGCAGCACCTCCAGGAAGCTGAGACAAGGCCACCAGCATCTGAAGCCTTGCTACTGGCAATAAGGAGCCTTCCAGTATACAAAGGGACCCTACAGAAAAACCAGAGACAGACTTCCTACTAGGGCATGTAGTGACAGGACAAGGGGGGGAATGGCTTCAATCTGAAAGAGGACAGGTTTCAATTAGATATCAGGAAGAAATACTTTACTGTGAGAGTGGTGAAACACTGCAACAGGCTGTCCAGAGAAGCTGTGAATGTCCCATCTCTGGAAGTGTGCAAGGGCAGGCTGGATGGAGTCCTGAGTAATGTGGTTATGGGGAAGGTGTCCCTGTATATGGCAGGGGATAGAATTTGATGATCTTTAAGATCCCTTTGAACCCAGACCATTCTATGAGTCTATGGTAAGGGGAACTACTACTAACTGAATCATTCTCCTGGTGACTAGCAGGCACTGGAGAGGTAGAAAGACAACATCCATTTGTGGCAAGTTCTTTCAAAACATGAAACATAGCTACACCAAAATGAACACAAGACTAAACACTTTGTGCCCTGATATCCCACACAGCATCATCCTGTAGAGTACCAATGACAGCCAATGAGTTATTTAGGCCAGGATGGATGCAGGGAACAGGTCTGGAAATGTTCCCTGCTGAGACAAATACAATTTAGTCCCAAAAACTAACTCAAAAATACTCAAATAACAGACTGAGCTGTCCCAGGCTGTATACTTTCAATCAAACAGCCTGAACAGGACCACGTAATCACAGAAATAGACTATTATACACTAATGTAACTGTGCTCATAGAAGCACAAAGGTTTTTATGTTTAAGCAGCTACTTACCCCCTTGAACACAATGCACAAAAGCATTGGGCTGCTTCAGCAGTACTGTACAACTAATGACTGATACAGCTCTATGTTCACTGCAGATTTCTGGCAGCAACAGCCACATCATAAGACTGGTCATTTATTGTTACACAGATACACTGAAGAGACACAGAAAGAAACTTGCAATTGGGTGTGTCCATCTGCAAAAAAATAACACTGCAAAGGGGGACTTTATTGTGCCAGCCAGGAGAAGACTATCCCCAAAACATGAGGGTGGTCTGGGTGCTCTCCCACCCTTGGAGTCACCAAGAGGAGAATTCTTTCCAGCACCAGGTTACAGCACACAGGAGCTCCACATGAAAAAGCAATTCTCATCCTGAGGGAACTTCTGTTTACTTGAATGCCTCCCTTATAATCCCATTTTATGGGCCACATGTTTAGGGAATGCTGCACAGTCAGGAGACTGGCAGAGACTAAAGGGAAGTGATTCCTTTCAGAAGACTCTAGAAAGCAGGACACAACCTCAAAAATTCTCATGGCAGCCTTTTGCTTAGCTACATCTGTATTATCATAACAAATATTTTAGTCTTAAACGGGTACTGAACCCTAGCAAGAAAATATAAGATGTTGCTTTTTTGAAGTAAGAAAAACATAATAGAAGGGGTCTAAAACTAACATTGGAACAGTTTTCCTGTTTAAAAGTTAAAATGAAAGCACCTCAGCTTTTTTTAAAAAACTCCAAAATTATAATATAGGTTAAAAAAGGGAAGAGTAAACAGGTTTTACTGTTTTTGACTTGACTGGTCCCTTTATGGTTAGGTCCATTAGCTTGCAGGTGGAATAACACAACTCAGCAATAAGCATGGGTAGAGATTCATAAATACTAACCACTTTCTGGTGTGGCTATCAGGTCTGGACACCCCACATTCTCCTTCTGCAGTGAAAGACTGAGAAGAGGTTAATCTGTGTCAGGGAGAAGTCACCCTGCTTGAAGGCAACCTCATATCCTGTAACTCCCACTCTGAGATAGTAAATACTGGCACAGCCGCATACAAGCAACTTTCAGGTTGAAAGTATGTCAGTTACCAACTGATTTACTCACCTGATAAATGCTCTCAGCTACTTTTACCAACACAAACGCTTTGTTATCTAGCCAGGGAGCCTAATGTTTTAATCCCAGTCCCCCAGACTTCTGGTAAGAGTACAGTGCTCAGTACCTGGCAGGACCAAGCACTTGTTAAGCTGCTGTGGTTCCTCTGCATTAGTATTTTCCATACAATATTTTGAAATAGAAGGGAGGCACAAAATAGAGTGGTTTATAACCCTGAAGAACAATGATCATTTCTGTGAGCTGGTTTTCTACACAGGATGTGGGCTGGGCCTCCTTGAGTTTGTGTAATCTGTCTGGAAGTCCAAAAACCACACTCTGAAAGCATGCTTTTCCTTTAACAAACAGTCAGTCACACACACAGAGTCTAACAGTGGTTTACGTGTATGTCATTCGCCATTAAGGAAAATTTTCATTATTATTTTTTCAAGCATTTTTATGTCAAATTAGGCACACAGACCACACTTAAATATAAAAATATACAAATATATACATATAAATATATATTATATACAAATACATAAATTTATATTTTATAAAAATATTAAAATATATAGCCTTTTTTAATCCAGCAAAAACTACATCTAGAGATAGAAGATTCACTTATTTAAAATATGTCAGAAGTTGCACTTCTGATAGTGCTTAGCTTTTGCCCAGAGACAAAAATGCAAAGACACTGCAAACATTATCATGGAATGTGCTGGGAATGATTATCCTGCAAAGTGGCTTTTCTAGATGCTCTAAGTCACTAGGTTTAACAACTTCAGGCAGTCCTTTGAAGTCCTGTATTTCAGATACTCATCTAGAGATCAACTCCTTCCCTTTTCTCCAAACAGCACCAGAGAACAGTCCACCAAAACGAACTGTTTTTTGAACAATGACTGGACAATGTACAGCAGAGGTTAAAATACAAGAGAGTAGAAAAATGGCTTCCTCCAGAACTCTCCTCTAGCACTCCAGGTAAAAAGCAGATCTGAAGTAATTTCTGAAAAAAGAGGATAGAGGAGTGCTACACTGTTTAACCCTATTCCACACTGAGAAAACTTAACTCCAACTGGAGTTGATCTGCCTGAAAATTTGACTACCATCCCTCCATCCCTTTCCTGTTTGCCTCTTGGAGCTGCAAGACCTTGTTTATCACGAAGAATTGCTGAAGAAGTAGAATTCATATGAATTCTCTGAAAGTCTGTCTTCATAGTAAATGTGCCAATCTTATACTTGACACTGAAACTCAGTACTGTAACAAGCTGCTAGGAATACTTATCTTCTAGAAGGAAAGCCAGCTGTATGAAGTAGGTATATATGTCAAAATAATTGGTATCAATTTACTACTGTAACCTCTAGGATTACATGTTTTTAATTGCTAGTGAAACTGATAGTAACTTGAAGTTCTATCGTATTTCCAGTGCTCAGTTTTCTATTAGTATTTTTGAAGCTATAGCAAGTAGCTTTTCTTTCTTTCTCTGGGAAATCAGAAAGAATGGGAGTTAAGTTTGAGCAAGTGGGAAAAAAACCCATAAATACTCAAGCATACTGAAATTTATTTTTGCCCACAATCAGGTTTCAAGTGGCTAGAAACCATCAAGAAATCTTTTTCCCCATTTCATATGTTAATTCAGATTATACTCATCTAGGCAAATTATGTGGGAATAAATCATCGGCCATGTTTGACACAGCAGATCCTACCACACCCTAAGATATTTTGACAATTACCACACAATTTGAGTCAGAACCTATTACATTCAGCACAGAACTGGTTGGCTTCTGTCTTCATCTCCAGTAAGTTCCTGTCTTAGAACACGCACTGTGCAAAAACAGCTCCTGCAGCCATGGAGGGGAGAGCTGCAAGGAAATAACAGCAGGAAGTAACGTCTCTGTGATTCAACATGTTGAGTCTTTTCCCCTGAGAAACCAGCAAATAAAGCACAGCACTAACTGAACAGAAAAAATCCTTATCCTGTCTACATTACAGATTCTGGAACCACTGGAGTTTGAGTCACTGAGCCCGTTTCTCTCTTCAGATTTCAGCAAGTCTTCCTTTAGTGTACTTTCACCTAGGGTAATTTGAGAAAAGAGAAAGACTTGTTAAATGTTGCAAAACAATTACATTTCACCTCCATCAGCTGTGCAAGAGCAGCAGAAAAAACATTTCTGGATGGATGGATGAACTAGTTTTGATCCTTCTAACTGAAAACCAAAACACACCCCCAAAAAAGTAATAGGATTATACCACAGTCCATTACTACAGTGGAAGTAAAGCAACACATCTCAGTGAAGGCTTTCAGTGTGCTGGGGTAAGTGCTGTAGGCTTCCACATTACAGAGATTGGACAGAAAGAAGGTAAAAGCCATTTTCAAGGCAAAATAACAATAAAAATACCTAAAGTATTTTGTTAACATCACAAGCCACATAAGAGAAATAAATTCCGTTCTGCTCCCTGCTGTTCCCTTCTGGTTTTAATTTGCTAGAGAAGACTGAAGCCTGTATTCAAAAAACAGACTGAGTTGTAAACATTAGCCTCTGCCAGCATTACTAGTAACTCATGAGGTTCTGGAGTTACCATGGAAAGGCAAGGGGAGGGTAGGACGAAGAGGTCTATGAAAAAGCAGAACTTGCTCTGTCATTAAACTCATTTTATTGCATTGTTTTAACCCACAAAATTAAAATGAAAAGTGTTTGATGCTCAGAAGACACACACTTGCAGAAAATCCAGTTCTACTCATCTCTGTTGTTTGCATTATGAAAACAAGCAGGGGAAAGCTAAGAAAAGTTGGAGAAGATTGCCTGGGCCACTGGACGCCCTTGTTTTATATGGCTTGCATACTATTCCCCAATTTATCTCTTGTCATGTTAACAGTAAAAGATCCAGCTTCATTTCTTGCAGGAATAGTTTTGTTAAATTGTGACAAAACAATGAAACTGCAGCTGAGAGCATCTCATGGTAATATTTAACAATATGCTTTTAACAAGACTTTGCCCCATTTTTGTCTTTTCCTCAAGCCAATCATTTCTAGTTAACTGCCCGCAACATGAGGCACTGATGTGCTTTGGAAATCCATTCACATGGCTAAACAGTGAAAAAAGGAGAAGGGTGTTTCTGCAGCAGTATGGTCCTGGAGGGATTGTGTTTCACATCATATAAAAACGCTGCCTCTATTCTGACTAATCTTAGGTTCAGTCAGCCCCAACTCAAAAACTGAATACAGGAGTAGGAAGAAGTGATCTCCTTATTAAACACAGCAGTCCTTTGTTCACAGCATAGTCCCACAAATGATCAACAACTGAGGTGATGGAACACTACACTGTGATATCAGAACAACAGCCCATAGGGCTGCTAAAGAGCAACTAAAGGAAACATCTCAAGCCATGATTACCTCTTGCATCCACAACTGCCCCAATATAACACTTCCTAGTTCCAGCACCTTAAGAAGCTGTGTTTCAAGCCTGAGTTGAACTCCAGTCACCTTGATGAACATGGCCCTACTGCTAATCACTTTTTACTTAGCTGGGTTACTACCGAAGTAGTTACAGCCTGTTTTTCCAACCACTTAGAACAGCTCCATGACTCCTCCCTCCAGCCCACAGGCCAAGCGGAAAATCCCACCAGCTGTCTCAGAGCTGTTTTTGGCCGACCCATGATTCCAAACTTCTGCACTGACTCCCTGATGACAGGTATCATTAGCTAACAGACATTAACTTTCTGCAGGTTCTCATATAAGGCTTCCTGTTCTTTCACTACTTCTAAAAATGGCTCCCTTCACCATAGGCACTTCTCTTACTCTTGGATTAGCTCACCACACTTTTCTTCTTGATATCATCTCACCTCACTGATTTCCCCAGCCCCCCCCCCTCTAGCTTTCAGTTCCATCTTCCTAACTGGAAATCCCTTATTTCTTCTTAATACACCCCCTTTAGCCTTACTGTGTGTATTATATATCAATCTGTCACTTGCATCCTATTTTCTATACCTCAATACCACCAGAAAGCTGTAATCATGTGCTTTCCTCTTTCTTCTCAGACACTGGTGCAGTCAGAAGTAACTACCAGTAATACATGCTCATACACAGATCAGAGCAGCTCAGGGTGACCATTAAAAGGACGTACTGCAGTCTTGCATATCTAGATAATGTTATTCTTAGCCTCCAAAGGATACATGCCAACAGGCTACATTATACCTAGCTAAATCACATCTGTTTCACACATGTGAAGTATGTACAATCTGACCAGAAGCAGGAATTGTGAAAGGCCTATTTTGAAACACAAGCTTCTTAAAATCACAACCCCACTCCCCACACACTTTTTCTATGAAAAGTTTACAACTTGGACAAGTTTTTTGGGGAGTTCTCAGATAAGAAGCAAAAGGCTTTATTCTAAAGCTGGAGCACGATTCACTTTGCAGCCTCAGTTCTACTACCTACAACTTCATCAAGAACAACAGGAGAAGGCACCAGCCCTGCTTATGTTCAGACCCTTCAATACCCACTAAGGACTTGCCTGCAGTGTGCAGACCCTACTGTCTGAAAGCAGCAAATGTTGACTTATGCCCGTCCTTCATATGGTTCACCACTTCAGCTTATATTTACATACTGTTTAATAACAAAGGTTCCTTTTCATCTTTTGATAGATATTTAACTAGCTAAGTATTTACACATTTTTTAATTATTCATTTTGTATTAAACAAAACTGTTAGAAAACTGGAATTCCGTGCAGAGCAAACTGCACAAGTCCACAAGGAAGTTTAACTAGCAGCAAAATTCTTGATTTTTCATCTGCAAATTAAAAATATATTTGAAGCCAATTGGAATTGCTTAACTTTCTCACTAGTCAAGTAAACATGCTCTGCTATGTCTTTTTAACTAAGTATAATTCAGACATCAGATTACAATTTGACTGCTTGTACCTAATTAGTGATGTGAGAGGTTGCAAGCCTCTGTAATCAGACAGTCAATTTTCTCCAGAATTCAAGATATCAGAAACTGCATTGTCAGTTGCTACCCTCTCATACAGTTTGTTTCCCAAGGCAGCCAATACCAGCACCAAATTTTTGCTTCGGCAGGAAGGATCAAAGTAAGAAGCAAGAACTATTAGTTTTCTAACAACTTAAAATGAAACAAAATCCTAGACCTAACTGCAAACCAGTATTCCCAAAGACAGCATAACCATCATTGCTAAGTAAATGGAAAACAGAGAAGTCTGAAGAAAAAGCACAGCTCTGCACAGTAGTGTAGCTACATTTCTGTGTAGCTGCTGCAAGAGCATGCTAAGACAAGCCTGCAGTTTTTATCCTGGCTCCACACATGGGGACACTTCTGCATGCCAAAGCTAGTATTTTTCTGCTTCTTGCTTGAGTGATTCTAAGCCTGTTCTGCACACGCTTCACAGTGCCAAGAAGCTCTGTACTTCTAGGTGGATTGCTGCAGACTGGTTTTTTTTCAGGAAGAGCGATCACTTTTATGAAGCCTATGTGCACATCAATGGCAAACATAATGAGATTCATACAATAGGCCCAGACACTCTTCCTCCCAAAGTTAACACCTGTGTACTGCTGCCAATACTCATGCAACAGGAAAAGAAGCTATTATATTGTCTTACACAATTTTTTCAGTAACCAGGACCATATGCATATTTTGCCTCTCCCCATTAAGAAAAAATCCACAACACTGCTACAGCTTGCTTTATGCCTCTGTGGATCAAAGTAACAAAAAACCCCTGAACTGCCAAATGAAGCAGTCTGGTATAGCTTGAACCAGACAAGTACTGTTACCAAGGTATCACATTCTTTTGTTTTATAGCATGGATATGTACTAACACCTACAAGTAGGATGAATTTGTAGCTATGTACAAGAGGAACAACAGCTGATATGAAAACATTAATGGTTGTTACCTAAATATATTAGTGTTACAATAGCTAAGAGGAACTGGAGTATTCAGCTTCACTGATTTCTCAAGTTAGTCATGTCTGTGCATAGCGCCAAAGTTCACATAACAGCAACCAGAAGACTAATTCTAGTTATAAGCTTTAGTAATTGTTTTGGAGACATTCATATGCAACTATCAAGTAAACTGCAGACTTGTTTCAGTTGAAACTCTCAATGCCTTTGTTCAAAATGAATACTGTCAATGTAGCTGTACTACCCCCTCCACAAAGCAGGTCAGGAAATGTATTGACCTTGTTCAATTGGAACTGGTAAACCAGCTCAGGGGTTGATATATTTCTTCTCATTAACGTACCTAAGGTTCCTGGGGGAGGGGAAGACAGGAAACAAGTACTCTTCCTGCTCCCCCAACCTAAAAATAACTGAGTCTTTCTGCAACATTTAAGCCACACAAGCACTCAAAGCCTGAAATATTTATACTCTGGGCAAACAGTCACAGAACTCTTGCATTTTGCCCAGTATCTTTTTATCATTATCCAAACAGATCTGGAGATTGTGGCAGAAAAGTTTACTTTTCCAGGGGTAGACATAAGCCTGCTGCCATCTGTGTTCTTAAACCATAGCTTTTTCTCTGCCAGTCAGTTAAGCTGTAACTACAAGCCTACTCTGATTTGTGAACTTGAGCACGAGTTTCCCCTCTTCAAGCACCTCTTGCTCTGTGTCTTGAAAATCTGCAGGTTTAGCAGAGTTTCTTTTTCACATTAGAAAACAAAGGAAATTATCAATACTTCAAGAATAAAGTTGGGTACAATGTTGTAGAAGGTAATGAAGTTGAACAGCATAAAAAAATTGCTAGGAAAAACACTGCACACATAACAAAAATATGTAGAAAACATTACCTATAAACGTGCAAATTACATTCCTAGTAATTGAGCATCGTAAAACACAAGACTGATTATGCTATTCAGACAAATTTAAGTGAAAGAACTTTTGTAGGATTTGGAGGCATGCATCCTCACAGGCTTCATTACTCCAGTTCTCCCGGATTTAAAAAGGCAACTGATTTGGCTGTTAGAAATTCTTTTCTTTCAAAAAGCTACAAAAGAAGATTGAATCTGGTTTTGGTTCATGCTCAAAGTAAAATGTATATCAAGTTAAAGATAAGCACCTTCCTTTCT